AGACCTTTTACAACAACAACAATGCCAAAAAACCAACTAAGAGCTAATTTTAAAAGCGCTCAGCCCAAAACGATCATATTACCTTTGACATACAAACGCTTTAGCGAATCAGTAGCGCTAGTAGCTGCTCTGTACGACGAAAATATCAATGACAAGCAGATAACAAGTGTTGACGAAGAAACAAAATCACAACAAAACCGCAGAAGAAAGCACTTGAATACTGCACGCTTCCAACGAGACCGCAGCCGTAGTAGTTGCACGCAAGGCTAACAACAACAGAATCACACTGAGTAAACTAAAGAGCGTCTGCAAGCGGCTAAATATGCGAGTTGTGGCAGACAACACGCGATCTAAGACACAGTGCTCCTTCAAGAGCCATTTTATGGAAATCACTTGAAACTGTATGCGCCCAAATGGCTTTACTTTGAATGTGGAAATGTGTGTGCGCGTGTGTGTGGCGTTGATATTACCAGCTTTGTTGTTACACAACTGATAAGTATCTCTTGAGTAACTGCATGTTAAAGCCGTTAAGATGCTTTTGGGCATCGCTGGCTCCACATGCGAGTGTACATAAATGCGCCGATGAAATCGATCGCTTGATCGTTTTCCCGAGTATCTTCGCACAGGAGTTCATACATTTGCGCCTTTGTGTAAGACATTTTGTACAAATTGTGCGCCAATTTGGTAGAATGCTAAGTTGCATTTGCCTACAATGATATGAGCTCATAAACACCATTTAAATGTTTGTGCTCCCGAATAAGTGGCAATTGATCTGATGACCTCAAGCTGATTAGTTTGGTTAATTTAAGAGGGTTTAACATTTTTTAGTAATACTTATTTCAGGTTTTTGTTTTAAAGTGGATTTTCGCATGCAACATTTGCATTGAAAAAATTGGAAAAATAAAATTTCGAAATTATTGTAGAGAAGTTAAGTGACAACATTACCACTGCAGCGTGTTTCTTATTGAGTATAACTAAGTGGTGTTTTTTCTTTAGTTTTTAAATTTTCAAATATAGAACACTCCTAAGCACCCTTTTAACAGTAGATACGTTTACTTAAGCATCACCACTTGTCCGGATCTTGGCGGTCAGCTCATGAGAGTTGGATGCTTTTCAGAGAATTTCACTCTTGCTAACATCGGAAATCCCTTTTTTTTGTTACCGCTTTTAGTATTTTAACCGTACTCCGACTAATTACACAAGAAATTGTGAAGTGAGAAACGAGAAAAGTAAGGAGTAGCTGCAAGTAAATAACAAATAATTTCGAAGCAATTGTAATTAGCTGCTGAAAGCGCGTTAACCTGGTAATGTTCAGACTAAGTATGTGGTAAGTATTTATTAGAGGACTATTTTGAAAGATTACGAGCTATCAGCTCTGATTGGAGGCCTTATTCAGGAAAATAAAATAACTTAATAATCTGAGGTATAGGAGATATGTACGTGATATATGTTGTTGTCCAATATGGCTGATTCCGAAAAATTACCTCAAAAACTCACAAAGAAATTTATATATTACCTGAAAGATAAACTTCGCCTTATAAACCGCTGACTGGATACTGCTTTTTAGATCAGATTCAGGGTGAGCCGTAGAAAAATTTTATCTATAATAATATTAAATTTTTTGTGTTTTTTTTTTCTTGGATAGATTTTGAGCGGGAAAGTTGTAATCACCGCAGACTCTCCGTAGCTAATTATATTTTTCTTAGTAAACATTATGATTTGTTTATATATATGTGACCTGGTCTACGGAAAAGGGAAATGGGGGAAAAAAATCAATTTTCACTTTTTAGTTGATTCGGACTGCTTTTTCACATGATAGAATAGTTTCCCAGAAAACTAGTTTTCGCACGTTAGCTCCCTTTTCGTAGACCAAGCCACATATAACTCTTTTTGATTTATTAAATTAATTTTTTATTCACATTTCACCAGTACTAGCCCACAGTTCAGTTTACTAAACTGTTCCCGTAACTCAAGCATAATATCTTTCAGATGTTGCATACTTTTAGGCAGCATTGGGCTCTGCTCTCAACCATTGTACATGTCCACCAACAGTTGGAGAGCCACTGAAATGTTTTGCATGCCTCACACGCATATTAAATGTAATTTTGTAATTGAAAACACTTATTAGTTTAGTATCCCAAAAAATATTAAATACAGAATAAAAGTAATAACTTCGGATGCAACCTTATAATACCAATCACAAATCCAACAATTCCTTAGAAGAACTGTGATCGGTGAGTTTGTATGGCAGCTGTATGCTTTCTTTCTATTTCTTCTGTTATTGCATTACTGCTTTAGATAATGACCTATGCCACATTTGGTGAATATACTATATCTCCTCATATGACAAAGTTTTCCATAGCAGCATTTGATTCCGTTTGTTCAGTTTATATAACAGCTGTATGCTATAGTGTACCGATAACGGAAGTTTCGACAAATGACCGAGCTGTTTGGTGGATAAAAGGGCAGGTGCAAGATCGATTTCTCAAAAACTCGTATACAGTACATACAAACACACGGACAGACAGACGAACATGAATAATTTGACTAAGCTAGTCACGCCGATCATGTAGATATACTTGTATATTTTATAGGATCACTACACGTTTCATTTTGGCTGTTACAAAGTTCGTGTCAAAATTAATAACCCGTTTAAGTGTATACAAAATTTAAGGATAATAAAGTTGTTTGTATTAGTAAATTGATTAATATTTGGAAAGGTTATACAAAATTTTTTTAAAATTATTAAACATTTTAATTTTCTGCATTTTTACATTATTTGTTTCTGAAGAAGTGAACTCGCTGTGATTTGATTAATATTGAGGGACTACGTCAACGACGCCGTATATCTCGTAGAGCTCATCGTTCCAACTACTGCGGTATTCGTTGTTACTAAAATACCAAAAATCTTCCAGATTTATCTCGAACACTCCGTAAGCCGACTCGTCAAATGTTGTCATTGTCCATGCTTCCACATCATAAAGTAGGATGTGAGGGAGGGATTTGTAGAAATTGAGCGTTCTTCGTCGACAGAGGTTTTTACTTTCCAATTGTCTATTCAGTCCAAAGTAGCTGCTTTCGACAAGAGCGATTCTGCATTGGATTTTTCTATTATTGTTGGTGATAATGCTGGTTCCAAGATAGAAGAAATTATCTTCGAAGTTATGACCATCAACTGGGTATCCAATGTGATTAATGCTTGTTTGATGACAGGAATTTTTGCATCTTATTCTCATTCACAATTAGACGTATACGCTTCACTTTCATATCCAGTCTGGAAACAGCAAAACTAATGAATCGCTTTTTATTATTATTTCTTCCAGCAATATTGGAGAAATCACACGATATGGATTCTCCTTGTTTGAAACTTCGCTTGGTATTGAATGGTTCTCAAAGATGAAGGACCTGACGGAAATGTAGTAAATGTCACAAGGACCTATTTGATTCCGTCCTTATCCCGTTGTCAGTCTTTACTTTTACTCACACTTTAAGGACCGAACATTCCAGGTATATGTCCTTAAATCATAGTTCTTAATTGCAGTAGTCATCGTCAAAAGTGGAATCTTTCATCCGAGGCTGATTTCTATTTTTCATTAGAGTGGTTTCTACTTAACGGATCTCAAACCCAGTACACAAGTTCCCTAAGCGAGTGATATAATGATGCAATTAGATTTCAGCGAACCCTTAAACCGAATATGTCAGAGTGGTCATATTGAGAGAAGTGAAGTTTCCTCTCTTTTAGCTGTGACCACAGGTTCCACACGAATTGACTACCGTGGCACCACCTCCCGGTGGCTACAAAGGCGTAGATCAGTTTATGACATATGTCTTAGATGACAATGGACCGGAACTAATGGATCAAATTGCTCTATCAGATTTTATACTAGCACCAAACGATGACCCACAAAAGCTAAATAATGCCCCGGCGCCAGCACCATTACTTTCTAATGTACAGGTATTATATAGACAAAAAAGTAAAGCCTGTGAAGTAAATTTTTAAATATAAGGGTTGTCTTTTATATTTCGGAAGTAGAGAACAGAAACATATATGAATCATGGAAAACTGCTTTATGGTTTTTTTTTAATGGAGGATCCAAAGTGAAAATTTTTTTTATAGCCAAATATTCAAGCAATATTGAATGTGAGATGGTCTCACTAATCCATACTCAATCTCACGATAGGAGAGCCAAAGTGAAAATTTTTTTTATAGCCAAATATTCAAGCAATATTGAATGTGAGATGGTCTCACTAATCCATACTCAATCTCACGATAGGACACAAGAAAATCTCGTAACAGCATTAATGGTTTTCGGAATTTCTGAATTTTAACTACCTACACGAAATTCATTTAAGAGCGATCTACGACCTCGATTATATTCTCTGCACCATCGATAAAAACTGGTCCTTAAAGAAGCTTCATCGCCAAAAATGTAATTCGGTTCATCGTTGCATTTTTGCTGAATTAATGCACGTAGAAAGTTGTAAACAATAATTGCGTGAAATAATTTAAATTTTTGGTTAAGATGAATAATTTAAGACACTGTAAACAATACAAATAGCGCTCGTATCTAAAAATGTTCCGAGTAAGCTTAAAGTCAAAAATGTCAAACTTTAAGATTGCTAGATTGCAACACCCAAAATAGCAATTCCAAAATAGAAAAGGTAACCTATGTACAGGTAAATGTATAATACAGCAGTTATAAGAGCTTTAAGCTCCTTTGGTATAATTGAAACACTATGATTTTGCAAAGCGGGTTCAGTTTCGATGAAAATTTTCTACTTTGTCCACAACATTCTCAATGATATCTTTTTCACTACCCTGTATAATTGTTGCTCTAGAAAATGGTACCCTGAAATTTCAATTTGTATGGCAAATGATTGAACCAGAATGCAAAACTCGCCAATACGATCAGTAATAGCTTTAGTGTCATTCATAAAAGATCTATTCGTGACATTTATAAAATAAGCTAACAATAAACACTTTCTTTATTAAAAAAAAAATGTGCGAGAAGCTCATAAAATATATTTTATTCTTCATTGTGACGGTGCAAATAACGGTATGGATTGTATTAACGAGAATTACGTTAAGAAATGATAATTGGAAGAAAACAGCTGATTTGGAAGAACTTTCGCATGAAAATGAAACGCAGCAAATTAAAACCCAAAAAGGTCTCTTTAATTAAAACTTATAAGGAGTAGTATAATCTAACTATAGCCTTCTCTCTACAGCCCCCTCCTACGAGCAATCCATTATTATGGTGCGTCATTTTCTGGCGGGCGCTGGCGGCTACATCGCCTTGACTTACAATGTCTTCGGACACATAATTGAGCATCCGCACTCCGCGCTTGTGACCTTTCCCTATTACGAGGTCTTCGAGGCTCTTGACGACTATCAGCCCTGGCTGCGCGTCTTCTTGCTACGCACTACCGATGAAACCAAGCCACAGACTTGGGAGCAGCACTTGCATGGATTCGAGTGGGCCGGCCAATATTTCATTGGTTTGGAGCTACTGCATTTTATAGTTAATCTACAAAGCGTAAAACTTTTGGCGCTGTTTCGGGACGAAGCCAACGCGGAGTATTTGCGTTATGCCATTTATGATGATTTTAGAATAGGGAACGTAACGGAGGCATATCGCATTAAAAAGTTGGGCATATTTGTGGGTAATACCGAAAATTGGTTGAGCGCTTTTTCCAATAAAGCTTATGTGGGCTTTAATGTAAGTGACGGTGAGGAGAGGCAGCGTTATGAAGATCGTTGTCCGATGTTGGCGTTGCAGGGTTGGTGGGGTGGTGCGAACATATTCTGGTGAGTTGTGGATTCTGGCTTAAAAATATGATTTATGGTATAAAGAGGCTTTTCTTTTATAGCAAATTACCGTTATCTTTTCGTGGTTCCTTAGAGCTCTACATTCGACCATTTGACAGCGCATTTAAGTTGATGGAGGTATAAATCGAATATTTTCAAGGTTTAAACAGAATATTTGAAAATAAAGTGCTATATTGAAAGTTGAGTAATTCATTGAACAAAATACATAGGTAATACTTAAACTTACTAAGGAGGCAACTGATTCACAAAAGAAACCTGGATCAATCTGAATATTAGGGAGTCTGATAATATACGAGTATCTGAAGCAATTTTACCCGGAAAATGTTAGACTTTTTTAGATACTTTAACGATTCCCTATAAACTTGTCATTCGCTAGTTACCGGTTACAATGCTCGAATGAGTCATGGAAAATTGGAACTGAAAATTGAACTCAGTGGACCTTAAAATTTAGGTAAAATTCAGTTTCAAAAACCAATACCATTAGGTTAGATAAAAAGGCTGACTACTCATGAGGCCACGAGTCCGCCTACCTGGACTGCTATCGACGCTTCTTCCTTATGAAGCCCAGAAATCCTAGATATGGATGAAAAGTACTCATATTTATCGAGACGACTTATATCTATTCCAGCCGATTCGCCGAGTTCGTAAAAACTATTTAATTAGTAATTATATGGAGGAGAAAGTGTCTAGATGTCTCCTCCTCATGTTCCTCATTACAACTTTGCATTCACACAAAATCTTTGGCCTCTACGCATAAGTGCCAATGGGACCGTGTCTAGTTAGGTCACCTCTTATGATCCACTCTGGGCCAGACAACCTTTGCATCCCCACAGGTGGTGATTGCTGATCAACGCAATAACAAGGGAATCCTGTTCGTTCGAAGCTTATTTGCTTTAAAATTTCCGACAATTTCGCCGTGGTCAGGTAACTAGACAAATTTAATATGTAAGTAACTTGATGCTACTACTAGTGAGGTCACAAACTCCTTAACTAGCTTTGAGCTCATTGTCATCGAGTTAAGATTTGTACAACAGTTTGCACGAAACCACAATGATCCAACCGCCTCCAAGAAGAGTTAATTGGGAGCTCCCGGCAAAAAGTGAATAGAAGTTAGTCAATCAGTGCTCTACCACTGAGCTAAAGAGGCGCTAAAAATTGGTGAATTTTCAGAAAATGAACTGCATTAAAATATAAAAGTTTACCGGCATCGAAGAGGAGATGTTGCATGATATTAGAGATAGTAACTTAATTGATGAAATGATAATATCCACAAAACAAAGATAAGTATGGATGTAATAATTGTATGCGAAGGCGTATATTTGACAACTAAACAAAGTAGGGACCTTTGAAGCTATTTCCGACTAAGTAGGCAATTGAGAAGCAAAGTCCTCTCGGCGAATAAAATTCAAACTCTATAAGGCATTCATATTAGGAGTTTTCGAGAGAAAGATTTTGCGAAAGACTTATATTGGCCACGGCGTATATCGCAGTCGATCAAAGGATGTGCGTAGTTCAGCGACTTAAAAGACAGCGGCTCCGATAACTAGGTCATATCGTTTGAATGGACGAAAACACTCCAGCTCTGAAAGTATTCGACGCGGTACCCGCCGGGGTAAACAGATGAAGAGGAAGACCTCCACTCCGTTGGAAGGACCAGGTGGAGAAGGACCGGGATACGCTTGACATTTACAATTGTCGCTTGTTAACTCTGCTATAACTGCGTAAGCGGTTTCTACGCTACTAAAGAAGAAGAAGTAAATAGTTGAAGATCGAAAAATTTTTCGGATTGTAACCCAAGATAGCAGATCTATGTAGGTTTCTCTGCTATTTCCTCCGCTATATTAGGTGAAGAATGAACGCAGTTATTTTGCTGGGAATTCGCAACACCACCTGAAGTAGCAGCTCGTGCTCAAGGTCAAAGACAGACACTAATCGCCTGAAACAATACCACAGCAAATGCTTCACGCTAATATGGTGCGCAAATATCTTCCTTTACTCTGATTGAAATGCCAAAGTTAAAGTCAAAAGCTTCAAAATAAACAAAAACACAATGATGAACTCATTCAATTAGGATTGCAGGTGTTTATTGGCTTTTTGTTGTCTATACACACTTCAATGGAATTCAATTAAACACTATTTACAGAATTAAACATTAAAGAAAACACAGAAGACAAAGCAATAAGAGTATAAATAGTAGTATGTGTGTACTAGACACGCTCGTGACATGCGATAGGGAAACGTGCGCGTCGACCACCGACAGCTGCGGAAGTTGTTGCCTGCCACAAGGTGGTGACAATGACGACGTGCAAATCAATTCTTGAGGCAAATGAGCAGCTAAACAAGCCAATAAACAAAGCGTCAACGGCGCATTGGTTGGCGAATCGATGACGATAGCGATAGTGTAGACAAGCAAAACAATAACAACAATAACTTTGCAAAAATAATAACAATGGCAAATAATGAGCTGTGAAGAAGCCAAGCAAATGTGATTGGCAAGCAAGTGGCCTAGAAGAGAGGAAAGGGGGTGTGGCGGCACTGTAGATAATTTAATTTTAGTCTAAGCACCGCCGAGTTTAGTCTGGCACCGTTCTTAAGTGCGCCTAGTGGGCCGCCAGCAGAATTTAGCAAAAAAGCGCGGCTATCAATGCACCGCAGGCATCGTGTTTATACATACAGGTGAGTGTGTGTATAGGTGCATACAGGAGAGTGTATGTGTGTGTTTGTGGTGCTAAATGTAGCAATAGTGCGTCTATTATTGTAACCGCTCGTCTAAAAAGGGGTGTGCGACTGTCACACATGACGTTTGAGGTTAGGAATCCGATCACTTGAAATGCATACCTTTTGCTAGTTATTGTTGTTGTTCTTATTGCTGTTATCTTTTGTTGGCTGTTGCGGTACTTTTAATGTTTAACGTTTCTTTAAGCTGCGCTGGCACCCACGACACGAGTCTCACGTGTACGACTACACCCTGTAGCTGTACAGGTACACATGCACACACACACACACACGGTGGTACTTGTAAGCTCGTAATAATGACATTATATTTTGAAGTGAGCTGTCATGCGTGTAACTTGGATTGACAAGGAATTTATTGCCGTTTGTGAAGTGCTTGCATTTTTAGTTGAGCAAATTGTTTGACAGGTGAACTAAATTGACAATTAAGAAGGTTAGTTTGAAGAGCGGTAGAACAGCTTACAAGAAGCATCTTCAGAAAACAGAGTAATAGCAGAGCATCTCAACATATCTATGATTCGACTCAACACATTTTGTTTAGCTTGGATTAGGTAAGGAAAATAGGCTGCAATTTTCGTGAGGGCCATAATAACCCCGCTTGGGTTGTTGATACGCTAGGCCGGTGTGATGCCTAGAACTCCTAAAAAGGGATCAAAAAGTTGCATATCTACAAAGCAAAGCTTAGAGACAGCTTCCTAATCTCGCGCGAGCTCCAAAGACGCAGCGCCAGAGTACACGACAACAGTGGAAGGACGTTCCCATCGTAACGGGATTTGGTTAAGGGTGCCTTTTTAGCGAGCTCATTGGCTTTATAATTTCCTTGTTTAATATGGAAGTAGCTTGATGCGACAGGTGGTGAGATCATGATCGTCAGCTCAACGCCTGCAAAGCAGCTCAGCTTTCGAAGTGGATGCATACCTCCATAAAAGAAGTCACACTTCATAGAATACATAAGCTACCCCTTCTGTCATACGGTCCTATTCCTGCAATGGTCAAGCTGTAGAAACAAGAGTTGAACAAGAGTTCCCTACAGAGGCTCCACCTTTAAACCTTTCACTTGATCCGTCCGTGTAAAAGTTCACTGAGCCTCTTTTCCAGCGAAAACGAAAGCATAACTCTTGGTGAGGGGACTCTCAACGCCTCCCAATAGCTCATTTAGAATAATATGTATAAGGTAACCAACGACTTCGTCATCCTCTCCTCAGCATTGGGATTACATGACAGCTTTCTATCAATATAACCAGTTGAATCTCATTTCGAATATGAGCTAGACCGCTTCTTTTCGCCCACTTAGGTACCACAATCTGGTACCTTGTGTTAACCCGTGAACATTATTTAGGAATTTTCTCTCCTTTAACAATGAGAGCTGCATCCTCTATATCATTCGACAGTTTCGTCCCTCGAGTTTTTTCAATAAACTATTTACCACTAAGATTTACTCTATTGATTATTAAACTATTACCAATTTGTTCTTTGGTATATTATATTTTGCTTAAACTTAGGCTTCTCTACTGGTATCGGTGTCTGAGATACCATATTTTGGTAGGAAAGAATGTACTGACTTTAATTCTTTTCAGGAAAGTAGAGGAGTTTACATTTCCAAACATGCCTTGTCTGAATTTTCTTAGTACTTAACTTTCCACGTCAGAGAATGTCCTCATAAGCAAAGAGGCAGAAGATACAGAGACTACCGGAAAGCATATATACTAGATACCAGGCCACAAGGGAATACCGGGGAACGAAATAGCTGATGAGATTGTCAAAAGTGCCGAACTAGTGCAGGAAATGCGGTAGATATTAAAAATTATATAAAATGAATGTTACGAATGGGCTGATAGACGGATCAGAGTGAGATGGAATAAACACTAAAGAAAACACGAATGCCTTTTACTTTGAGGGTCTTGAAGCAACTGCAGAACGGTCGTTCCGATGAGCATAAGTAAAGAAAATACATATAGAAATCCCAGGGTTGGCATGAGAGAGACGCTAGAAAACTTCCTATGCCTCTTTCCAGCATTATCTAAAACTAGACTTGGATATCCAGGAATATCGCAGTTTAAGGAACAAGACGAAGCATTAAAATTATACATTAAGTCGCAACAATAGCTTTGTTTAACCGAAAGAAAATCTTTTTGAGGTAATTTTAAGGAATGATGCTGAGTTGACAACCTTTGAGCAGATTCGTTGCGTTTATTTGGAATCGTAATGAAGTCGCTCTTAGGTTTATAAAAAGCGTTGACGTCCTGTATGACAAATATTTCAGCTCAAATTAAACTGAACCTCCATCTGGCATTACAAAGGACGAGTAGGTCCACTTATTGCGTGACAGCCGACCAGTATAACCTAACATAACATTTCTTTTGGCGACACTGTTGGCCGTTCTGATAATA